CAGTAACGTCAGATCTTTACTGAATTTTAAAAATCTTTATCGTGGTGTTTTCAAAGAGAGCTGGTAGCTGTTAGGTAGAGCAAATCTTTGGCTACATTATACCCAGTTTAGATTACATGAGCCACGTTTACCAAGTCCGTTTACCAATAACTATTTATCCAATGAAAACCGTGGCTTTTTGATTAGGTTCATCACGTAAAAATACCAAAAATTCCAAAACCTGCTTTTTGAAAGCAAATTAAACTTGGTTATGCTACATAAATAATGTTCAATAAAAATCATATTTCAATTCGCGGGAACTTCAAAAGCTTTCTTATATTTGCTGCAGTTGTGTGTTTCATGACTTAGCCAAAAATCGAGACCTCAAAGGAAATAATTTTTTAACACCAAAGACAGCAGATCAAAAAAATCTAAACAATTTACCTCGTAGTCCGCGAATTGCCCTATTTGACGCACACTTAAACCTTTCCCAAACTTTGGAATGAAAATTCTAAAAATTAGCCTAACTTGGAGCAGATAAAATTGACGGGTGGGGAATTTTGGTAACTATCAAAAGAAATATACAAGATTTTGGTTTGAAAATATATCCATAAAAAGAGAAGGAAAAGCTGCATCGAATGAATGCTGGAACTCATTCAGGTTTTTATTGCGCGTGGTTTTATAGTGGTTTGAAAAAACGGACAAAACTTTCGGGACAACCTAATATTAGGTTGAACCGAAAGTTCTGTCGTGTCATTTTCAAAAATTTGTAACTTTGCGCTTTTCCAACGGATTTGCTTGCATGTAATTTTATTGGAGAGGTTAGGTCTTCCGCTATCAAACGCTGTTTTGTGGAGCTTCTGTTTCGCACTGGGTGCAGAGATAAAAATGGAAAACTAAGACCATGTAAACTTTGACCATTTTTAGTTAAGTCACCAAAAATCTGGAATGCTGCAGAAAAATCTCAAATCGTCAGTACATATGTTTTTTGTCCTACTCTTTGCAATTGCGAAAAGTCTGTGCTGTTTGCACGTCTTTGTGAGAAGTTTACGAATATCGAGTTCACTATGGAAAAGGCCAAAATTATTAGGTTGTCCCATAAGTCTTTTCATTTTTGAATTTTCGCTATAATAAGTCACACACTTTTTACTCTAAATAGACATCAGGATACCATTCGATAGAGCAAAGCAAGCTCTATAAGATGGCGTTTACGCTTTCGCAGAAGCTTTAGTCTATCTCGGGTTTTAATTCAAAATCTAGAAAGTTTCAGATGGCCAAAAAACCGAAAAAATTTTATATTTTCCTTCAAAAAAATCCTACAAACCTCAAACTTGCTCACATATATACATTTCACATCAGACATTCATATGTGCTGTTGCTGCATTTTTTATCACCTAGAAATCAGAAAACCGAAAATTTTCATGTTCTTACCAAAGTGATGCTGTGCTGTTCTTACACAAGCAGTTGCATAGTAGAAGCCCTCAGAAGTATTGCAGTAGATTTTTGGCTCTCTATATGCTCTAGTTCACGACAAATATCAAATTTAGTTTTCTTCACTTGGGTTTTTCACGCTTAAATCAACATTTCTCGGAAACCAGAGCTTATATAGAGCTAAAAAATTATAGTTGTACTTCTAAGGGCTTGTAGTATACAACTGTCTGTGTAAGAACAGCACAGCATCACTTTGGTAAAAACAGGAAAATTTTCGGTTTCTTGATTTCTAGCCGATAAAAAAATGCAGCAACAGCACATATGAATGTCTTATGTGGAATGTATACACGTGAGAGAGTTTGAGCTTTGTAGGATTTTTTTTTTGAATGAAGATATAAAATTTTTTCGGTTTTCTGGCCATCCGAAACTTTTTAGATTTTGGTTTATAGCTCGAGATAGACCAAAGCTTGTGCGAAAGCGTAAACGCCACCTTATAGAGCTTGCTTTGCTCTATAGAATGGTATCCTGATGCCAATTTAGAGTAAGAAGTGTGTGACCATAGCGAAAATTCAAAAATGAAAAGACTTATGGGACAACCTAATAATTATTTTGCCAATTTTCACGAAAATCATAACTTCTTACAGAGACGTCCAAACAGCACAAACTCTTCGTTGCAAAGAGTAGGCCAAAAACATATGTACTGACGATTTCAGATTTTTCTGCAGCATTCCAGATTTTTGTGACCTAACTTGAAATGGTCAAAGTTTACATAGTCTTAGTTTTCCATTTTTATCTCTGCACTCAGTGTAAAACAGAACTCCGCAAGCAGGATTTGAAAGCAAAAGAATTATTCTTTCTTTTAAAATTACAGGCAAGTTGCAAATCCGTTGAAACAGCGCAAGGTTACAAATTTAAATGAAACGACAGAACTTTCGGTTCAACCTAATCTGAACTCCAAAAAAGAACGCGGTATAATTTTCCGCATTTTATTAGATCTAAGCAATCGAAAATCAAAAATATCGAATGAATGGATATCGACTGTATTGCTTCCGAATTGCGAGAGTCGAATTTCGAGTAAATATGTTAATGATTCATCGAAAATTCAGAGCAACCACATCTGAAACTTGCTGACATACGGGGCTAAAGCCGATTCATTCATAATCGGCCCCTCACTTATTCTCTGTACCAAGTTTCAGCCCGTGGCTCAAAGTTTTGGAAAGTTGATATAGCTGGTTAATCGGCAACTAATCCGCACATCAGCAAAACGTCATATTTCACTTTCCATTATTAGCGATTCAAAGAGAGAGCAGCCGATGCAAATTTTTATGTCCGCCTAGAAAACTCTTCTTCAGATCGTCAGAAAGTGATTGATGTACATAAGGACAGCATGATTTATCCCTTTACAAAACCAATGATATAAAAGCAAAAAATTGATCTTTTTTCTATATCACTGGGAAACTCCTCTCAAGTATTGTTGGAATGCTAGGAATGCGAATCCTAATACAGTTCAAAGCTGTCAACGGCTTCAGAAAAATGCATTATCGAGTTTTGCAGAAAAAAGACGCAGTCGAAGGCGAGCTTGATAGCTCAGCAGTTGGCTCTCCACCATACTCAAATATCATGACCTAAGATACAGCGCTACACTTTTGCATAATATACTGCACCAGCATGTAGGTCCACCATGCACAAGGAACCGGTTCGAAAAGCGGGTCGTTCAAAATTTGCGCGTCAAGCGGGTCCACGCGGCATTTGGCAAGCAAAACTAAATCGCTAATTCAACTTTTCCAAAGTCATTATTTGCCTAACAAGTAGATTTGCGCCCCATGGATTCTAGCCCAAAAGTGCTCAAAAAGTTTGTTTTTCTGCGAAAGCGCCAAAAAAGTGGTGGTCGCGGAGCGAGTCGATTTGGTAAGGCTCTACCTTAAAATTTTGAAAGGTTTTTTGCGAGGTCAAAGTGTAGCTCAAGTGAATATTATCCTTATGACGACTACCAAGCCAAAATATTCAATATCCATTCAAATTCGCAATTTTTTCACGGCTAGAAATTAAAAAAAGGAATGGATGAAATGGCAAACTCCGCCCTAGACGTCCTGATGAAAGATTCTGAGTTTCTCCCACGCGTGACCGTGTGCCTCGGACATACATAAGTACGATCACGTATTTGTACCCTTTGTAAGTGCCCAAGTTTTCGAAAAAATATCTGAATGGGGAAATGGGGAAAAATGTAGAAAATTATGGGACAGCCTAATAAATATTATTCGAATACGAATTTGAAAAAAAAGATTGAATGTCGAATAAATTTCGAATAATTCGAATAAATTAATCGCAACTCAGCTGTTTGATTATCAGTATTTCGAAAGTTAGTCGAAACCTCCTTTTCTGAGTATTCTATCCGAATTTTATTCGCAATCTCCTTTTTTGATTATTCAGTTTCGAACTTTATTCGATATCCCGTTCTTACCACATAGCCAAATTTAATGGTAAACATAATATTGCATAAAAAAACACATAGAAGTTATGAACAGTTGTATGCTGATTTTAGTAATTTTCTCGAAAAATAAATACTAGTGGCCCATAATCAAGACCAAGTGGGCTGAGATTTGCGTTAGCTACCAAGACTTGCTTTGAAACTGCAGAGTGACATAGAAAAGCTCTTACAGGAACCGCGGTCATCTTTTGAATTTCGAAGGGCTATTAGGATGGTAGAATAAAGTGTTTGAAATAAAGAATTGTATGTTTTCTTCATTGAATGTTGACTTTCACCTGTTCTCATTGCTGCTTCAAAGTGAGGAGTGAAATCAAATTAACAATGGCACAGATAGCGAGCTGCTAGTGGATACATACGGCGCCGAGAAAAGCGCTGCTTGCATCTTCGCTATTCACAAACACCGTACTATGTGAAAAGCCCAGCGACCTTTTCTATAACTGAAACACTCATTAACATGAAAATAGGCTTCTAATTCCCTAGTACTGCCGAATGTCTTACATTTCCATACTGCAGAAGCACATAATAATAAAATTCTATTCAAACTCAATCAGCAAAAGGTCTACTTCACCTATAAAAGGAGGTAAGCACACAAGGCCACAGACACAGTATGGCAGCACTTAAAAAATTCTTCATCGTCACAGCGGTATGTTGCATTTAGCCTTCTGTTCAGTAGCTTCGGTTTCACTTCGAGCGATCAAACAGTAAAGCTGCATTACCTTCTCATATGCTATTTGATCGAATCACCCATCCACCATGTCTCAAAATGAGAATACGGGAGGATGAAAGTGTCAAATAGAATCATCTCCTCAAATTTGCGTTTTGGGATGCAATGACGCTTTAGAGCCTACCATTAAACCTAGCGTGAAAGTTCATTAACTTTGCAACTGAACAATTTCGTTTACAAACGAATAAGAAATAATCTTTTATGAAGTGTAAAGTCGTTGTCTCCATGTTGTATAAAGCGCTTTCATAGCGCCGAGATAACAATATTTACGAGCGCAGAACAGCAGTAATGAAAAACTAGAAAATGAATGGTAGTATGAGAAGGCACTGAAAGAATGAATCTTATTGAAGATTTTTCGTTTAGCTATGGTTGTGCTCGATGTTTGCGATTTCTTCACAAACACGTTCGTGCAGTAGCGGAGAGAAGAGATTTGATAAACTCTTTGCCATGTTTGATTTCTGCGTAAACCACTTACACTTTCAGAGTGTGACAATTACCCTAATCACACAATTGATTCCACCGGTAGAGACCTGATTCTAGAAATTCACAATCAAAAAAGGTAAGTTTGCTTTTAAGTATCAAAGATAACCGCCACAAAGCGGAACATTTGGCAGTTGCGGCGCTTCTCAAGAGAAATAATTATCGCATATGAAAATTATTTTGTGCTAACTGGTTTTTTTTGCAAAAAAGCTTACAAGGGAAGGGTGCAGTCGAAGTGGCCTTTTCAGATAAGACCCACACTGGTTTGGAGAGTATTGCACAGTGATTCCAAATCTGCCTTCATTATCTGCCAATCGCCTTTGAACCCCGAGTTATGGGCGTTTTCGGGTCAAAAATTGAACGCCGAACTGAAGCAAAATCGCCCAAATTTGCTCAAATGGTGGGGTGTCGAGTATCAGAGCAGTTCATGCAATGGATACATTTTGTCTAATATGCTAATACTTAACTTTGCTTCATCTGAGCGCTGGAAAGATTGTAGCAATTGCTTTTAAATTTTGCATTCATTTTTCGCTCCAAAAAACGGTCATAATTCGGTGTCCAAAGGCGAGGATTTTATTCCATAAAGCTGCGGACATTTCCCATTCTTATCATGGTTTAGCGCAAGCTAAATAACCCAAACTTGTCGAAATCAAGCGCATATAAATTGAGATTAAGGGTAAAGCTTCCATTAATCCCAATTATTCGTGAATAGAGTTACGATAATGGTGTTTAGTGACTTTTGAGCATTTGAACAATTCAACACTTGATTGAACAAATACTCACTCATGACCCAATCAAAACAAATGCCAACATTGAGCTTTTAGGGAGGCGACAGCTAAAGGTCAATACAGAAACGGTGTCAACGATTTCAAAATAAGAAACGCGAAGAACATGATGGAAATGGTTTTTCTTTCCGAGCGTTCATTTTCTCAACAGCATTATTTTCATTACGAATTTTTAGAAGTACGACTGCGAATTGGAGAAGGCTGCACATGATATTGCAGTACAGTGCAATAACGCAGAAACCCCCCAAACGTCACTTACCACCGAAGGCGAAAATTTCTTGAAAATTGACAAAGTGTACTCAGAAATAGGAACGGCATCAAACGTTATGTACACAGTAAGTTTGCAGTGATGGACCTATAATCCGGAAATTTTAGAAGAAGAAAGCGTAACGTCAGCCACGCTCAAATACTTTTTTTACAAGGCCCATTTGAATTTCTTGATTAAAAATTGTTCTCGTTAATTAAGGTATTAGATCGTTGCGAAAGTAGCTTCGCTTCTTTAAAAACGAGCTTTTGTTCACGACGGAGTTGACCGAAAGGGAATTTGGACTATCAAATAAAATTTCATTGAAAAGAATTATGGCTAGCTATGAAAAAAGAAAAAATGTTGTGTTGATTCTTTTAGTGTTTGCTCTATCCATCCGTTACTTGGACTCTTTCGGAAAGTTGACATGAAAATTTCGAAAGATTATGAAACTAGAACATCCTAGAAAGCATGGAGATTTTGTTGATTTTCCGAGAACTCGTTGACAGTGCTGCAAAGTTTGTAGCGATTAGAAAGAGAATGGAATGCTGCATCGAGTGCTATTGATATTCGGTTCATCAAAGCTTTAGCTCTCCACTGGCAAACACCACGGAGACCGCTCTCCAATCACGGCTTCATTATGTAAGCTAAGCCTATGGTGTTTTAGGCAGGAACCAAGTGGTTCGAAGAAATTACGAATAATGGGATCAATCAAAATATAGACTTCACTCAATTTTTCGCTAATAAGAAGCCTACTGTATACCATTGGTCACAAGTACGTAAAGAAAATTCTGCACTAGAACTTCTTCCGCTTTTTACGCTTCTACTAAACGATTTCTTCTTTCTCAGATGGTTTGGGCGAAGACGTATAAAATTGGCTGCGAGATAGCGGACTGTGAAGATTTGATGAATAGGGTGTACACCATCGTAGTGTGTCGTTATAGCCCCAAGTATGGACAGCATTTAGCAAATGCTTATGCAGTTTACATGTAGCAATGTTCCAATTCAGAGGAAATGTCGTGGGAAACAAAGTATACCAACCCGGCAAGATACTGGATTGCGAATATGGAACATCCGCAGGATATCCTTTCCTTTGTGCATATCCTCCTTTCTCATAAAATTAAGCGAATAAAACTTGTGCATTATGTTCTTGTCACATCGGAAGGAGTACGAGGAGTTCTTTGAGTAAACCTGCAGGACATGCTCCGAAGATCTCTGCTTCAGGAGTCACACCTGTAATGTCAGTCGCTACGCACGCCTCGCGCGATACAAATTCGGCTTTCTATATGAATTGGATACCAATTTGGAGAGCATCAGACGATGATTTCAAAGCTGTCTTTTTTATTTGGCGAGCGCCTCTAGGCGCTGAGTTTCCAGACATAAAAACACTTCGTCTAATATACTCCTACTCAACACTTCTACTTAGCGAGTGAAAGACCATAACCCTCGAATTTACGGATTTTTCTTTTGTTATTCGTTCCAAAAAAAACTCATAGCTCAGTGTCTGAAAGAGCTTGGCAAAAAACACAGTTTTGGAATTAGCCTCTGTCTTTAGATTGATATTATCTCATTTCGAAAGCCGATTTTGACTTTAGGTACTTTCCTAGTAAGACACTGTATGCTTCATTGATTTGATTGAAAGAGTCGCTCCAGATTGAATGTTGTTTTTCGTTACTGATTTGGTGAGCTCTAAGCCTTAACCGTGATATTGATCAGATCAAATTTTTCGATTTGTTTCCAAACCTTTCCAAGAAGATTAGTCACCACATGAAAAACATTGAAACTGTGCCGGTCACGGCCTGCTGTGATTTGCAATGATTTCGCAATTCACCATCTGCTCGTCTTCAAACGTGATCAAACAGTCCGGCAAAATCATTGACAAAGAAATGCAGGACACGTTCCGCAAACCGCTTAAAATGCTTCTAGAATTAGGGGCTAAACGAACGAAGGATAAGGTGAGTCTAGTCTGAGCTGTGGTACATTTCTGAAATCATTTCTTATTCATAACCAGTATGCTGATAACTTTTTGGCACAGATCGAAGTTAATTGGATAACTTTTCCATAGTCACAATTGCCGCATCACTGATTGTCACTGTTGCTGGAGGTCTCAGTTGATGTGCAGTTGCCATGACTTCCTGAAGCATAATTTATTTGAAGTAAAGCTGTTGACTTCAACATTTAGGAGGAGAAAAAGCGTTACTATTGCTCATAACATTTTGCAGTGCTTCATAATCATACTCTGGTAAAGCTTTTGTAGTCTCCTTGCGTTTTGTAGTCCTTCACAAGATGGCTGGGAAATGTGAATTCATCCATTCCCATTCACGTATTGGATCGGTCCGAAAGTTCGTTCCGTTTTAAGACCCATGCTCAAACCACTTAAAATAAAGATAAACAAACTTCAAGCAATGTTCTACGCAGAATTTGTTTCTCTCTTTAACAGTCAGGTAGTTCGTTTGAATAATTCAGGATCTCCAACCCATGGTTTTTACATCCTGAGTTTGGCTATTTTTTTAAATTTCCATCTTCAACTTTTGGACTAGCACTGATAACGTTTAGATAGAATAAGGAAAATGCGGTATAGTAAACTTTGACCTTTTCAACTAGCTTTTCAGTATTTCTTGAAAAGAAATTTTTTTGCAAAAGCCTTCACCTTTGCGAAATCTCGAAATACACAACCGCTTCAAACACTGATAAATCTTCAGAATTTGAAGCTTCTAAAGACAGCTTATAACTGTGTTTATACAAGCAAGCAACTGAACGTTTATTGATTTGAAATAATGGATTCCCAGTTTTCTGAGCGCAGCCTGGGACGAGCCTGGAAACAACAATTGGAACAATTTCATCCTCAATCATGCAAATCAGTGGCCGTATTCATCAACGAACAACCCAGTGGGTTCCGAAACCCATTTAGTGGTTTTGATGAATATCGATTCTACATCGATATTCATCAAAAGCACTAAACTGGGTTCCGGAACCCACTGGGTTTTCGTTAATGAATAGGGCCACAGGAAGGAGAGGTCTGTTAGAAAGAGGAGAAAAAGCTAATCGAATGACACCCGGTTGTTCGCAGTTTATTGTTTTGTGAGCATTGGGATGTCAAAATATCCAAATCGATAACAGCAGAAGAAATTCTTTAAAATTTTGAGAAGCCAGCCAAAAAATGCATTTTGTTCATTTTATCCAACTGCTATCCAACTATCGAAGCTTGTCCAAAAATTGAAATGAGTTTAAAATAGCCAAACTCAGGACGGGTAAAATCCAAGCGTTGAAGATTCTGACGATTATTCGAGCGGGCATCAAAGGAATGTGAACAAAAGCAAAACTGTTACAAAGGGGAAGAAATTCTGCATCGAACGTTCTATAAACTTTCGTCTACCTTTATCCTAAGTGGTTTGAGCATGGGTCTGAGAAACTGCGCGAACTTTCGGGCACTTATTATATTATCAAGACTGAGGCAAGAAAGGTAAAGGGGCAAAGTTTACAAAAGCGATCTTAACTCGAGCGATTGGTTCGAGTCAAAAGTTTATCAAAATTAGCAAATGCTTGCCATTCTTCATTCCTCCCAGAACTGGTAGTCGATATCAAGATATTCTAACCCTATACTGATCAAAGCATTACTTTCTTTTGTCACTATCTATAAAGTGCGCAATTTACATTGGGTTTTGATATTTCATGGTTCAAATAGCACGAGATATTTCTTCGTAAATTATAACTCTTTTATTGCATTTTATCAACACTTTTATAATGACTTTCGCACAATGAGTCGAAACTCACACAAAAACTTCTTAGAACGTTTTACTCGCACTTTTGGCCGCGTATGATTCAGATAGCATGCCGCATTTTGATCCTTTGAAAGCAAAAAGAATGCAAGAAAGTAGGTCTGTTTCAAACGGGGAAAGATCTTCTCCAAATAAACCAGGTGTTTGTTGACGCACGAGAACAACGGGAAGGATATATTACAATTTTAATGTATCCTTCCCATTGTTCTCGCTATTCCATAACCACTGATTAGGCAAACCAGCTAAAATTTTCGCTCTTACATACGCTTTCACTCATATGTACAGCTTGTGAGCACGATATTTTTAGGAGGGAAACACTTTCAATGGCCGTGGCCATTTAATACGAGATGCAATCGGCTAAAGCATTTTTGAATTCGAATTCCAAATCTGTAGATTCTTATATGTGACAAGCTCTTTTAAAAAGGTTATGAGGGCCTAAAAATTCTGTTTCTGAGCTCCTTGAGTTCGAGGCTGGCGGGGTGCAGTGGAGTTGTAATGATTAGCTTGCTCGAATTAGAGGCAAGAGATCAGTGGTTCAAATAGTGAAGAGCAAAAATTTTTGCATTCTAAGTGTAAGTTAGATACGCACGAAATTGTCTGCAGACTTTCACATCAATGTTTTGGCATATCTGACCAAAAATGATAACTTTATAGCACAGCTGCATCTTAAAAGCCTCTCCATCGGGTTTAAACCACTTCACCTCTAATGCCAGCGCGCTAAACACTACATCACTGTACCAGAGTGCGCGAAAACGGAATTTCCAGGCTTTCATAACTCCTCTTAGAAAAGCGATCCGCAGAAATCGATTGCAGATTTGACAGCGCTAAAAAGCTGTAGCCACCATGCATCTCATATCAAAAAGGTCACGGCCATCAAAAGTATTGGGTTGTTGAAGATAATGTCCGTTTTGCATTCCACTTTCGAAGGCTTTAACTTCGTTCAGTCTTCATAATTTCAAATGCAGTCAAGACCATCAGAAATAGTAAATCTTTTGCAATTTAGAGCGTATCTGCACATACTGATATCATAAACGGGAAAAAAACTATGCGTCAAAAAAAACTGAAAGTTTTCCTTTTGAGAACCTCGTCTTTGAGAACTTACAACTACCTTCAAGTTTTGCTCTTATGGCTGGCAATCAGCTTATTTTGTAGCTGCAGGCCAATAGTTTACGGGTGTATAGAAAAGACTCCAACGAGGAAGTTCTGCGAAAAAAAAAAGATAAAAATTCAGAAATGTCCACTTTTTTGGGCCTATTTGTTGTAGGCTTGTAAGTGCCAAATTTGGAATTCTTCGCGCACTGAATGGCCAAGTTTCTCCGCAAATGTTGTAGTCATGGTGTGCTAACCTCAAGCTTACCGAAGTGGGCAAAGCTTTGGCGTTTCCCATAATTATGAGAAGTTTTTGAGTCATAGAATGCCAGCAGCAAGTACTGGAGGCGTCAATTTCTCAGTCCAGATATTTACAAAAATCTAAGTAAGCATGCAGTAGATAAACAATCTTTATCCAATAGAATTGCTATGTTTTCAAAAAAAAATTCGTTTATTTGCTCCTGAATTGTGGCCAAGAAAGTGACAGCTATGAGATTTCGATTTTGAGTGCGGATGTGCAAAATGCTGGTGAAGTTCTTATAGACGGGGTAAAAAATTAATTTCACCACCATTAGAAAGTACATGAAGAGAGCTTTCCGATGATATGAAGAATCTATATCGAATAAGAAGTTTGAAGGAAAAAGTTGTTTACATTACAGGCCTGGATAAACGGACATTATTTTTGCAATAGCCTAATACTTTCCTCGTTGGAAAACCCATAAATCCGTGCTCACTCACTCCATGCAGGAAGAAACTTCTCATTTTTTCAGAGCGCGTCAAGAGATCAATGGCGCTTGCTTATTTGCCTTGCGCAATTAGGCGAACCCCAAAAATGTTTGAGGGGTACTGAGAGAGCGAAGCAATCTACAGAAGACCGTTTATGCTTTCGTGCCAGGTTTTATTCATGTTTACTCATACCTCACTCAAGTGAAATTCAAAATTTGACAAGATATTTGAAACCAGTATTGATTCTTCGTCTGAAATCTTGCTACAAATCTCGCACTCGCACAAAGTAAGTTTACTTATACAATTGCGGCATTTCCTTTGCTTCAAAAAAATCTTTCTGTTTTTCCAGAGCAAAGCTGTGCCGACTTTACATGTGAAAGTCTTTATGAAATCAAAATTAGCAGTCGTTTCTCAGTTTTTCTGCTACCGGTATCTCTTGAAAGACAGCTCTTATAAGAAGTTGGAGGCTCAGCATTGCTTTGGCAAGGCATGAAAATTTTCGTTGTTCAAGTTTCTAATCAAAA